TGGATGGATGGATGGGTAGGTGGATGGATGGATGGATGGATGGATGGATGGATGGGTAGGTGGATGGATGGGTAGGTGGATGGATGGATGGATGGGTAGGTGGATGGATGGATGGATGGGTAGGTGGATGGATGGATGGATGGATGGATGGATGGATGGATGGATGACTATTAAAAACTTTAGCTATAAAATGAAGCAGTTGCACTGATAAGGTCCCTTTCAGTTCGAACATACTTTCCAGGTATCTATGTGCTAGGCGGGTATTGATTCTTTCAACAAATGGTAGGATTATATGATTTCTTTTGATCCTGCAATTTAAACTTAATGAGAAACCATAGGCTGCTGGGCCTGCCCCCCTCCACAACCCTTACATATCTCACTGCTGACATCTAAGGTTTATAATCTATTCTGTCTCTCTTTCTGGAACCAAAAAGAGAGAACATAGCCTAATGCTTTAAAGGAGAAACATGGAATCATATTACCAGGCTGTACCAAAAGAGACCTCGGTGACCATCTGGCCCAATGACTGATGTGATCAATGTCATCCAGAAAGGTTAAGTGATTTGATCAAGGTCACACAGCCAGAGGCCACGCTGAGGCCAGGCACATCTCCAGCTCCCTAAGCAGTGTTCCTTCAACCACTCCAGCCTGCCCTTTGAACTCTCCCATGGTAATTAAGTCAAAAGTTCAAGATTTATGTGAGCAGCGGACATTGATGACTGCCAACTGTATTTTTATTGATGCAAAAAATTTTAAAAACACAGCCTGTTTCACCTCCTAGATTAAGTCTCTCAAACTCCCTAAAGCCCCACTAAAGCCTCTGTCTCGAGTCTATAATTAGGGCTTTTAAAAATATCACTAATCAGGACATTTGAATGCTTTGGCCCCTGACAGGGGAAAAATGTCTCAGAGCTCCCCACTATCCTGCAGTTCTTTCTCAGTTTGATATAAACTAAGAGAAAACAAATCTGACAAAACATGGAGATGTGAGTGAGGGTATGATGATGAGGGGGTATGTCTGTGGCTTTACTTGAGAAATCTCATTAAAAACTTGCTAACCAGCCAGGCATTCAATCAGAAATACATGTTGTTAAAACCAAACAAGTTAACCACATGTGAAAGGACTGAGCCCACTAGCAGACCAGTTAGCCCACGGAAATTCCCAAGATCTGCCTTCAGAAGAGACTTTTCCAATCATCAGCTGTGCCATTTGACCAAGGAGGAGACTGAGAAAGAAAAGATATTCGGTCCAACCATTAGATGCAACATCATCTCTAGTCTTCGGGATAAAAATACCAAAACCCGCTTTTTCTTTTTCTTAAGAGATAGGGTTTTGCTCTGTTGCCCAGGCTCCACTGCAGTGGTACGATCACAGCTCACTGCAGCCTTGACCTCCTGGGCTCAAGTGATCCTCCCACCTCAGCCTCCCGAGTAACTGGGACTACAGGCATGAATGAGCCACCACACCTGGCTCATTTTTTATTTTTTGTGGAGATGGGGTCTTGCTATGTTACCTAGGCTAGTCTCAAACTCCGGCGTACACACGATCCTCCTGCTTCAGCCTCCCAAGTAGCTGGGATTACAGGCGAGAGCCACTGTGCTGGCCCAAACCAACTTATTGAATGATACTTTCATTACAAAGGAAATTTCCAAAAATTTGCGAAGCCTGTGTGGGTTTCTTTTTTTGTTGATATTGTTCTTTTCAATTCCTAGAAATTTCAACACAACTAAGAAGCCTGCCATTATTAACTTAGATAGTATCTCTACCAAGTAAAAATCCTAATTAGAACAAAGGTGGCTCCAAACTGTTATCAGCGGGTTAATCAATGAAATGAGTTTGGAATCTCAGGCTAACTACCTTCATATTCCCTAGTTACTTCCAAAAAAAATAGCCTTTCTCCCTGACATGGAGTGTGGGCATCTGCAGGTCTCAACAGGAATGAAACCAAAATAGAAAATTACCTTGTCTCCCAACACTGGAGAGAAAGAACCACTTTAGCAGCAAGAGTCTTGATACAGCTGTCTCTCCCATCATTTCCCTCAAGTTCAGCAATGGACCTGAACTTTTCGTCTATCATGATCTTCTCAAAAACTAAGTCTCAAAGTTTTCAGAAACATTAACCACTGAAACGCAAGCTGGAGACAATAAAAAGCCTCTAACAAATGGGCATATGTATCTCCCTCTTTGCTGCCAGATAACCCATCAACATACCTGGTATCTAGGGAAGGCAGGTGAAGTTCTACTTTCCTATACAAACGCATAAATTCCCAACCTTTCAAAACCCTCAATCTGGACGCATTTCAAAAATTAGCATTTGAAATTGCAACTTTCTTTCTGGAGAAAATGTGTTGCACCAAGGGGCATGTGTAACAGCATTATTTCCTGGCAGCCAGGTTTGTAATGACGTCACAGGGCCGTTCCACTCGGGAAACATCTAGTGCTGGTACCGTGTGAGGTCATCAGCTAGTCAGCTGCTAACATTGGACCAGAGAATGCCCTGCACACATCTGTGATGAAGAACTCAACTTAAAAAGTCAGATCAAATTGCCCCATGGCTGGGTTTTTCAATGCATGTACAACATGATGTTATTAGATTATATATATATATATATATATATATATATATAAATTTTTTTTGAGACAGCTATCACCCAGGCTAAAGTGTGGTGGTGCAACCTCAGCTCACTGCAACCTCCACCTCCTGGGTTCAAGTGATTCTCCTGCCTCATCCTCCCAAATAGCTGGAAGTACAGGTGCCTGCCACCATGCCCGGCTAATTTTTGTATTTTTAGTAGAAAAGGGGTTTTGACCATACCGGCCAGGCTGGTCTGGAACTCCTGACCTTGTGATCCACCCGCCTCAGCTTCCCAAAGTGCTGGCATTACAGGTGTGGGCCACCATGTCCAGCCTTTACTTCTTGATTATTTTTGCCATTGCATTTGGCGCCCAAGCTTTTTGCACTCTGTACAGAATCTAAAAAGAACTCTAGCAGGCAGCTGAGCTTGACTTCTTATATTAACCACCAGATCAGTAATCTAGCTTATCAGCAGAGGGAATAACCTGTAATATGTTTTTCCAACTGGAAGATACAGAACTAAATTTTCAATGTCTCAATCCAAAAAAAAAACCTTTGAAAAGCCCAAAAATGTCACCATCAACACAGGGTCACTGGAGCATCATTTGTCAATGTCCCTACAGAAAAACATTCAAACACACCCCAGTGGCATTTCCAGACAATCAGAAGGCAGCAAAGAAACCGATCTGGACATATGGGTATTTTCCAGGTGGCTGAAAATGCAAGGAATTTGGTGCTTCTGCAATTTTCCCTATTAATCGGGTCAGCATTTGACACTTGAGGTGGCAAAAAATTGTTTTAATGGCAACGTCCCCTTTCCCGCCTTGCCAATTACCCCGGCCATGGCATTCCTCTGTCCACACAGGCCACAGCTGCTTAATCTCAGCCGCCCCAGGCTGCACCTGTGAATCAGACCAGCCTAATCACACTAACAGATGGCAGAGGCCAAGTAGCCAGCTAAAAACTGCTATCACTTTAAATAGCATCTAATGTTTCACAGGCACCAAACAGGCCCCTCCCACAGCGGTATCTCCCTGGTACAGCTAACACCAGCCCTTAATCACTGCAGAGCACCCATTTTGGGGGCAGGGTTGGTGTCATTCGAGAGCTAATTACAAAAGAACCCTGCTTGCAAGGTGAAGGCACCGCAAGTACACTGTTGGCTGGCATTCATCACATGGGCACTCTACCCCCTGGCCGTTCTCCATGGGCCCTGGGGCGTCAGAAACAGGATTCACAATGCAAAGCATCAGGCCCACAGCACAGAATCCTTCAGAACCACTCAGCCTGCCTGTTACGTAATCCATACCTTGCTGTTGCATTTTATTGCTTCACGTGGTTTCCCGGTAACCTGCTATTAGGCAGGTAGCTGACCACCAGGACAACACAGTTCCCAGGCATGCAAACCAAACCAAGCTGACACAATCTGATGTCTCAAGCCACAGTGAGGGCACCCACATGCAGTATTGCTTGAGAGCTGTAAACATCTGTACAAGCATTCTCACTGCACCCCCATCGTGACCCTACGATGCCCTCAAGCAGCAGGCCGATGACTGAAACACAGCTCTGCTTTTGCTCCCTGAGCCACAATTTTCCAAGCAATAAAGTAAGAAGAGATACTCTGTCCACCTGATCGGGTTCGTGGTGGCCTGGATGGAACCAGCAGCCAGCATAGAGGCTATCGAGGGTGGACCCTCAGCATCTCTGCCTCCAGCGCATGCCAGAGCCAATGGCCGAAAGAAACGACCAACTTGCTCCACTGTTATCAGTGCTTTTTATTAAAGAACAATAATGAAAACCTCTTTAGAAGGCTGGTACAAATCACAGAAGATACTTCCACTCACCTTATTATCCTCTGTTTTACGAACAAGACTGCTAATGGTAAGCTCCCATTCAGGGCAGAATTCAGGGCAAACCTCCGTGTGCAAATTCCAAAGCCAGTGGTTCTCAGATTTCAGTGTGAATCAGAATCACCCCCAGAGTTTCTAAGGCAGTGGGCCTGAGGAGGAGCCTAAGAAATCTGCATTTCTAGGTAGTTCTCAGGGGATGCTGACACCACTGGTCCAGGGACTTCACTTTGAGAACCACTGCCCTAAGCTTCCTCATGACAAAAAGTAAAAACTGCATCAACCAAAATATTTCCCTTTTGCCCAAGCTGCTTGGAGACTCTGGGACAAATCTAAATCTTCACTTCAGGAACTCATTTATTCCAGATACCTAACAATATCTATTTTCTCTTTTTCCTTTAAAAGCTAAAAGACAATCTTTTCAACAAACAGTGCCAAAACTATTGCACTGGACACCCACAGGCTAAAAAGTAAATTCACACACACACACCTTACACCCTTCACAAAAGTAGATTACACACATCTTAAAATAGACTACACACATAAATACAAAACACAAACTATAATACTCCGAGGAGAAAAATTTAGATGACCTTGGGTTTGTTGACGATGTTTCAGATATAACACCAAAGGCACCATCTATAAAAGAAACAACCAGACTACATAAAACTTAAAATTTTCTGCTCTGCAAGAGACCCTGTCAAGAGAATGAAAAGGCATGCCACAGGTGGGGGGTAGAAAATGTTTGCAAAAGAGATGTAATAAAGGACTGTTATCCAAAATACACAAAGAACTCTCATAACTCGACAGTAAGAAAACAAACAACCTAATTAAAACATGGGCCAACAGCCTTAATAAACATCTCACCAAAGAAGATACATAGGTGGTAATTAATCATATGAAAAGATGCTTCACATCATATGTCATCAGATAAATTTAAATTGAAACAACAAAATACCACTACACACCTATCAGAATGGCCAAAATCCAGAACACTGAGCACAGCAAATGATATGGAGTAACAGGAGCTCTCATTCATTGTTGGGGGGAATGCAAAATGGTGCAGCCACTTTGGAAGGCAGCGTGGTGGTTTCCTAGAAACCTAAGTATACTCTTACCATAAGATTATGACACGTAATCCAGCAATCGCACTCCCTCACATTTACTCCCAGTAACTGAAAACTATGTCCACACAAAAACCTGCACACAGATGTCTGTAGCAACTTTATTCACAACTGTCAAAACTTGGAAGCAACAGAGATATTCTTTTTTTTTTTTGAGACAGAGTCTCACTCTGTCACCCAGGTTGAAGTGCAGTGGCATGATCTTGGCTCACTGCAACCTCCGCCTCCTGGGTTCAAGTGATTCTCATGCCTCACCCTCCCGAGTAGCTGGGATTACAGGCATGCACCACCACACCTGGCTAACTTATGTATTTTTTGTAGAGACGAGGGTTTCGCCAGGTTGGCCAGACTGGTCTTGAATTCCTGACCTCAAGCGATCCACTGCCTCAAAAAGTGCTGGTATTATGGGTGTGAGCAACCGCGCCTGGCCGAGATATCCTTCAGTAGGTGAATGGGTAAATAAACTTTGATATATACAATGGAATACTCAGTGCTATGAACACTTGACCCATCAGGCCATGATAAAAGACATGAGGGAAACTTAAATGCATCTTACTAAGTCAAATAAGCCAATCTGTAAAGGCTACAACTGTATGATTATACACCCTAACGTCAACTATAGACTTTGGTTGATGATGGCAGTACAGGTTCATCAACTGGAACAGAGGTACCATTCTGCCGGTGATGGGGATGCCAGGACAGACTAAGCATGTGTTGGGGAAGATTATATGGGAAATCTTTGTACCTTCCTCCTTATTTTGCTATGAACCTAAAACTGCTCTAACAAACAAAAGTATTGCCAGGCGCAGTGGCCAATGCCTGTAATCCTAGCACTTCAGGAGGCTAAGGTGGGTCAATCACTTGAGGTCAGGAGTTCAAGACCAGCCTGACCAATGTGGTGAAACCCTATCTCTACTAAAAATACATAAATTAGGCCAGGCACAGTGACAAACGCCTGTAATCCCAGCACTTTGGGAGGCCGAGGTGGGCAGATCATGAGGTCAGGTGTTCAAGACCAGCCTGGCCAACATGATGAAACCCCGTCTGTACTAAAAATACAAAAATTAGCTGGGTGTGGTGGCAGGCAATTGTAGTCCCAGCACTTGGGAAGTTGAGGCAGGAGAACTGCTTGAACTCAGAACTCAGGAGGCAGAGGTTGCAGTGAGCCGAGATTGCGCCACTGCATTCTAGCCTGGGTGACGGAGCAAGACTCCATCTCGGGGCAGGGTGGGGGGGCATAAGTTAGCTGGGTGTGGTGGCACATGCCTGTAGTCCCAGCTACTAGGGAGGCTGAGGCACGAGAATGACTTGAACTGGAGTGGCAGAGGTTGAAGTGGGCCGAGATCACGTCACTGCACGCCAGCCTAGGCAACAAAGTGAGACTCCATCTCAAAATAAATAAATAAAATACTGTTATTAAAAAATTTAAGCTCTGGACTGTTTTAACAACTAATTGTCTTCTGCTACTTAGGCCTTCTTTAATTGTACTAAATTGACAGAAGTCCTTTTTAAAAAAGTCCTTTTAATAAAATGTAGAATATACCATGTAAACAGAGAGCCCCAATGCCCTATGTACAAACACTTTAGGAACATTCCAGCCATGTCATTGGAAAATGCAAGTAACGTTATATTGTATTTCCTTTATTGAATAAACATTTGCAAGCACTCACTCTTCTGAGCACTGTACAAATATGAACTCACTTAATCCTAATAACCCCAGAAGACAGTATTATTATTTCTCCCACTTAAATCAAGTAATAATACTTCCACTTTCTTGTTAAAGAAACTGAGGCACAAAAGTGAAATGAGCAAGTCAGAAGTTGTGAAGCAAGATTCAAACCCAGGCTGCTCAGCTCCAAGACGCTATGTCCTGCTCTTCTTCACCAAGTAAACGGCCTCTCCCGGGTTCATGGCCTTCATTAAGCAAATCACCCTTGCTCCCTTTTCAGTCATGGTCTGCAAAGCCAGGCACACTTCCTTTATTTCCACTCAGCATGAGGTGTGTGTTGTAGAAGGCTGGGGTTTCTCGCCCTAGGGGCGACTGACATCTTGGACTGGATGATTCTTTGTTATGAGGCTGTGCTCTGCATCCCTGGCCCCTGCCCAACTAGAAGCCACCAGCTCCCCACCCCCTCTTGTGACAACCAAATGTTGCCCAATGTGCCAGGAGAGCAGGAACAGGCAATGGCCCCAGTCACACACCCCTGGATTAAACCAAGCACAATCGGTGATTACAAAGAAAACCAAGACGTTACATGGTTCTACTATTTTTGTGTCTCTGAACAGGGAGAAGCCAAAGGGAAAAGGAAACATCAAGGAAAGAAAAGTAGTGACTGCTTTGAAAAGCCAATGACCAGTGACACGAGAAGAAAGGACAAACGAGAGAGAAGGCTGTGCAGCAACACTGGTTTATTCTCAGGTTTGAAAGTCAGGAAAGTAGACACAGCGGGGAAAGGCATGGGCCGCGGGACACAGCATGGCACGGGAGAGTCAACAAGAAGACAGGCGACAGTCAGGACTTCCCTCCACGCTCCTCTCTCAGGGACCATCGGAGCCGGGCGGTTACTTACTCTTGTTGTTACTGCTCTCACTGACAAAATCTTCTGTGCCATCGGTGTCATCCTCATCATCTCCAGATGAGATGGCATCTGTATGCAAAAGAACATATTGCATGGATGTGTTTTTGCAAAGCAAAAAGGTTGCAATTATCGACAACTGAGACCTTCTCCATAGCAAAGTTAATGACCCAGGAATCCTCACAAAGAGCCTGGGATTGTGTTTAGTTAACATCATTTTGATGGCTTAAAATTTCCCTCCATGATGACAGTTGGTCTACGTTATGATTCTCAATGTTTTCTGCTTTCACACTATTTAAACAGGCTATAAAATTGGATGTACTAGAACTGGATTTCAAGCTTCAAACAGTATTCAAGCCCCTGACAAATTTACCAATTGTGTAGTACCCAAAGACTCTTTTTCCAACATGAACCTTTCAGCATTTGGAGTCCCCTTCAAGAAAGAAATTCATTTCTAACAAAACGTAGTCCCCGTGTGGCCCTGCTCATCATCAACTAATCTTCTGAAAGCAGAACTTTAAACTCGGCCACAAAGAGGGGACGTTCTGTCCCACTCACTGCATAGAAGGAAATCAAGGAGAGAAACTCAAACTTTAATAAACAAATCAGAAATCTTGAGTATCCAAATTTCAGTCCTATCTTCTAAATGCCAAAGATGTCAGTGGTACGGAGTTGGAGTGGGGGGAGCATGCATTTACTTAAATAAAAGTGTGCTCTCTTAAGAAAAGCGTTACTTTGTGCACAAGAATTCTGTCATTCTTAATGATAGGCCCTTCTGGTGTATCAGGTCCCAAAGAAGAATTTGAAAAACTGTGAAGCTATGTGCCTAGCATCCAATTAGAGATCTCATTACCTTTGCGCTTGGCAAAAAAAAAAAAAAAAAAGTAAATCAGATAATGGTGACAGAGAAGAGAGAGCGCAGTGCTCGCAGGCCAACTCACCTGTGACATTCACCATGAAGTACCAAGTTTCACTGTCTACAGTCCTAGTGGCAGTACAAGCATAGAGGCCGGAGTCTCTAGGCGTAGCGCCCTTTATCTGCAAGTACTCCCCAATAAGCACTGTCCTATTGTTGGGCCCCAAGTGCACCCCATCCTTAGTCCAACTGATCACGGCGGCATCTTTCAACAGGCAGCGCACCTCTAGCGACTCCCCTGGCGCAGCCACGTACACTTCTGGTTGAGAGATTTGGTATTTGGTTGGTGGCTCTGCAGAAAGGTGGGAGAGAGAAGATGGAGACAGATGGGAAGGAGGGAGAGGAGAGAACGTCCAACAAAGGTCAGTGGAGGCCTGCTTATTCCCAGGAGAAGCTGTTCTTGCTTTGCAAACGGCCCCAGCAGGCATCCACCTCTCCCCAAGCCCCAGGAAGCCAGGAAGAACCAGAGGACACCCCCAGCAAATCCGTCCTGGCTTAGTTTCCACATCCTACAGCGCTTTAGAAACAAACCAAACCATAGCACAGAAGGCTATTTCACAAGAAAATGTTTAAATTGATTGCCAAAGTGTGCTTGCACCATGATACCTGCAAAAATCTGTTATTGTGGTATGTTTTATTTATAAGAATGCCGAGTTTTACACATTTGTACGTTAAGTGCAACTGTGTGTCACACACACATACGCTGTTAATTATTTATTTATGCTAGACCTGGTCTGTGCCCCAAGGCCAAGCTTCTTAAAAGGAAATGTCTCATACTCAAGGAAAACTAATGGATCCCTCTACAAG